GACCTTGCTTTTTTGGTGGTGGTGGTTTTGCGGAGGATGTTGCTACAAGTGTAAATGGAAAGAAGAAAAGAGAAGCGAAATATTTTGTGACACATGAAAGCGACATGAAATTTGAGTTTCAGCACCCGTAAATAAAGCTCTGCTGGAACACAGCCACGTCGACTTGTGTGTCCGTCTATGGCTGCTTTCCCGCTACAGTGGCAGAGTAGTCATAACAGAGACTGTGTTTAACATAGTTACCGTTTGGCCTTTTAAGAAAAAGTTTGTCCAGAAGGGAGATTTAGAGAACATTTAATGATTCAGTCATTCTAGCTAGGATGCCTTCCTCATTTTTGTCCAGTGGCTAAACTCCTACGCACCCTTCAGAACCCCAGCTCCTGCGGTTTAGAGCAGGACAGAGCCCATTCTGGGTGTCCTAAGAGACTGGAGGCGGGAGGGCTGGGAGGAGGCGGAGGCTGGGGCAGCTCCTGGCACGTGATTCTGCTGGGGGTCAGGGCCCTTGCGAGGTGACAGGCGTGTGTCCTTATCAGGGAGGGAAAAGGGAGCCTGCAAGGACCCAGCGCCTGGGGTGGGTCCTGGGGGAGTTACAGTTGCAGGGTGGCACTTCTGGCTGTGAAAATTGCTTCTGTCCTGTCCTCGCACAACCCTCCCAGCTGTGCTCTCACAAAGCTGACACACTTTCTACATTCACGTAGTACTATTATTATTATTATTTACTGGGTCTTTGCCATGTGCCAAGTCCTATTAAGAGTTATCCGTGGCTGTGAAAATTGCTTCTGTCCTGTCCTCGCACAACCCTCCCAGCTGTGCTCTCACAAAGCTGACACACTTTCTACATTCACGTATTACTATTATTATTATTATTTACTGGGTCTTTGCCATGTGCCAAGTCCTATTAAGAGTTATCCTGTATCTGCCCACTTTTCACCCCCTCCTTCGTCTCCACCTGGTCCAGCGCAGTCCCCTCTGCCCTGGTCCCCAGCTCCCACTCTCGCCCCCCACAGTCTGTCCTCCCCACAGCAGCCAGAGGGCTCCTGTGAGCACCTGAGTCAGGTCCCTCCCTCCTTTGCCCACAGCCCTCCGTGGCTCCCACCTCCCTGGGGGAAAAGCCCAAGTTCTCCCCGTGGCCTGCAAGACCCTGAACAACTTCCCCATCTCCCACACGCCAGGCTCGGTCCTGCCCCAGGGCCTTTGCACAGGCTTTGCCCACTTTCTCCCCAGGTCTCCACATGGTTTACTTCCTCACCTCTTCCAGGTCTTTGTTCAAATGTCACCCTCTGGGAAAGGCCAGCCTCTAATCTCTTGGAACCCCCAGAATGGGCTCTGTCCTGCTCTAAACTACAGGATCTGGGGTTCTGAAGGATGAATAGGAGTTTACCCGCTAGACAAAACTGGGAAAGGCATCCTAGCTGAATCATTAAATGTTTCCTGAGTCCTGTTTGTGGGCAAACTTTTTTCTAAACTCCAGACAGTCAATATTTTAAACACAGTCTCTGTCACCGCTATTCAGCTCTGGTGACGTAGCATGAAAGCAGCCACAGACACATGTGAATGGCTGTGTGCTGTGTCAGTGGCTGTGTGCCAATAAAACTTTATTTATGGATGTTGAAATGTGAATTTCATGTCATTTTCACCTGTCACAAAATAGTTCCCTCCTTTCTATTTTTCTCCAACCATTTAAACATGTAAAAACATTCTTAGAAAAGTAGACAGAAGGCTGGCCGGTCAGCTCAGTGGGCTGGACCATGGTGCTGTGAACACCAAGGTCCAGGGTTCGATCCTTGTACCAGCCAGCCAACAAAAATAAACCAGAAACCAAAACACAAAGCAAAAACAAAACCAAATTTGCCACCGTGCGTCTCTCCTGCTTCAGCGACTGTGTCTACGTTCTGTCTATTCCACTGTAAGAGCTCCAGGACGTTGGGAATTTTTGTTGGTTTGGGTCTCTGCTGTGTCCCCAGCGCCTAGGATAGCGTCTGGTACACAGTAGGGCTCAATACATCTGTTGAAGGGATAAGTAATAAATTATCCCATTCCATTCTTAAAACCACCCTGAGAGGCAGCTTTTTAATCCCATAATCAAGGGGGTTGAGGCTCAGGAGGGAAACCTACTGTCAGAGTCACATCGTGAGTCCTTGTCGGGTGCAGATTGGAAACTGAGTGTGTGACACCAGTTGTGGCTTCTTGTCCCTACCTAATCGGAAATGAAAAATAACCATCCCAAATGAAATGAAAGGACTTCAGAAATCTTCAGTTTACAAATTTTTATAACAGCCAAGCTCTCCTGACTCAGGGAAAATCTGGGCAGGGCTGGGGTCCAGCCCAGAAGTAGGTACAACAGGGACTCAGGAAACACTTGATGATTCAGTGATTCTACCTACAGTACTTTCCCTATCGTTGTCTAGCAGGCAAACTCCTATTCATCCTTCAAAGCCCCAGCTCCAATGCCCCTCCTCTGGAAAGCTTTCCCTGATACTGCAGGTAGAGCCTTGAAGCCCCTTGCTGGGCCTCCCAGTCCCAGGACGCAGGGTTTGGGGTTATCTGTCTTACTCATGAGCTTCTCAAGGAAGGACACTTGAACCCTGGGGTGTCTGCCCGCATTTTCTCAGGCAGCCCAGAATCTGAGGATTTAAATCCATTCGGGTTGACCCGAGGCCCAGTTACCAAGGGTGACAGGAGCCCCCCACAGCCCCCGCACCTGCACTCACCAGCAGGGGCATCCAGCAGACACTTGCCACCACCATGATGCCTAAGAGCTGGGCCATCATCTCCACCTCGCAGTCCCGCGGGCGCTGCTTGGCGGCCTCCTGCCCGTGGTAGACGTGGCACAGGGTGGCCACACTGACCGTGTTGAGCAGGAAGGACATCCCCACCGAGAGGCTGCCGAGCAGCGCGAACAGCAGGCCGAAGGCCACGTCGCCCGGCTGGGCGCCCAGCGTGAGGAAGCACCAGGAGCTGGGGTACTGCACGGTGTAGCGGCCCACGCCCAGCAGGGGCAGCAGGCCCAGCGCCAGCGCGGCGGCCCACACCAGCGCCACCGTGGCCCAGGCGCGGCGCTGCGAGGTGGCCCCCGGGCGCGAGAAGGGCCGGGTGATGCCCAGAAAGCGCTCCGAGGCCATGGTGGCTCCGAGCAACAGCGGGCACAGGCCGAAAAAGACCATGACGACGCCCATGAAGTGGCAGAGGGGGCAGCTGGGGTCCACGGCTTGCCAGTCGAAGAGGATGGCGTGCTGGGACACCACGATGCTGCCGGTGACCAGCAGCCCCAGGAAGTCGGTGAGGACGAGGCCGCAGAGGAAAGTGAGGAAGGAGGACCGGGTGTGCGGGCTCCCCTGTCGCGCGCCCGCCAGCACCCTCAGCGCGAGCAGGTTGGAGGCCAGGCCCACCACGCAGAAGGAGGCGGAGAACCAGGGGGAGGCGATCAGGCGCCGCTCCTCCAGCGTGATGTTTGTCGGCCGGAAACAGGGTCCCAGGGAGCTGCCATTGGACCACATGGCGCTGGAGCCAAGCACGACCGGTCACCACCCCATCGGACCAAGGCTGCAGGTAGGGTGGGCTGGCACTCGCTCCGGCACACCTGGGAAGCAGAGAGATTGGCTTGTGATTCGTTCTGCACTTTAATCTGAGTGGCTCTGGCGAACTCCTACACAACCCTCAATGCCCTAGCTCAAATACCCCTCCCTGGAGGAAGCGTTTTCTCACTTCATTCCCCACTCAGTGAGTGCTGTTACAGCGACTATTGCCACTGTCACTACCTCCAGCTCTGTCTTGCCCCAGACTCAGTGACACCCCCCCCCCCGAGGGCAAAGACAAGGGCTGTCTCCTCCGCGATCCCTGGAGGATGCCAGGAAGTATTTTCTTGGTCCCAGAGAAGGCCCGAGGAGCTGGGCTTGAACTCTAGTCCTGGTGCTCACTACGTGACCCCCGGCAAGTGGTTTCTACTCTCTGAGCCTCAGTTTCCCTCTCTGTGCCTCATAGGAAGTGTGGATCCCAGATCCCCTTGCTGATGCTGGATAAATCCAGAATTCCACAGCCTGGGAGCAGGGAGGTCTGGACTTCGAGAGTCCAGGGCTCTATTTTTTGTCTTTTGTCTTTTTCTGTGTCCGGCAATGGATCGCAACCCTCAGTGTTGCCCCCGTACCGGACCGGGGACTGGCAACGGGATCCCAACCCCCGGCGTTGCCACCGCGCCTCGCTCAGCCAGTGAGCGGGAACCGGTCTGTATGTGGGATCCGAACCCTCGGGCGGGAGCGCCGCCGCGCTTCCCAAGCGGCACACTATCCAGTGCGCCACCGGGCCGGCCCAGGGCTCTGGAATTCTAATGAGCCCCAATCTGAGCCCCGGCAGCCCGCAGAAACCAGAGCAGATTTCCGTCGCTGTGAGACAGAAATTCTGACCTCCAGGACACGTTCCGTGTGGGGAGGGTCAAGCATCGCTGGTTCTCGCGCCAGCTCTGAGGTTGGCCTCTTGGGTCACAATTTCTGGTGAATGCCCCACCCCGTTGACATTTTAGGGGGACCACGAACATCCTTCCTCACGCACGTCGGAATCGCGTGGATTCCGTTTTTTCTATTTTCGTGGCATTGCTTTTATGATAAGAAATAAACCCAGAAATCCAATTCTACTTTGGGAACCAAAAAACAAAAAAAACAAAAAAACCAGCTCCTTTGGAATGACAGGTTCCCCAGGGACGGGTTATAAAGGGCAGCATGGGGGACCCACTCCCCGGTGTGGAGCGTTGTGTGCAGGGGCGACTCGGCCGTAGACGACAACATTGAGGCTGGTGGCATGACGCCGGAGGGAAACTCCAACTAGACCACTCAAAAACTGCTTCCAAGAAAGAAAAAAGAAGCAAACAAACAAAAGGCAGCTCCTGATTCCCAAAAAGGACACACCGTGGAGGACATCGAAGTCCAGGGAGAGGTGGTCACTTGCCTAAAGTCTCCCGGGTCCCCTGACTCCTGCACTGGACAGCCACCCCAGCCGTCCTCGGGTAGGCGGTGGAAGGGTGGGGTGAGCAGAGGTGAGGGCAGGGGGTAGGACCCACGCAACACTGAGGTGCCAGGCAGTTAAAGCACATAGAGGCCCTATTACGGTCCCTGATTTGCAGAGCGGGGAAACTGAGGCACAGAGAGGTTAAGTAACTTGTCCAAGGTCACAATGCCTGGCTGGAGTTTATTTGAGATTTAGACTTGGGCCTTGGGCTGGCCGGTTAGCTCAGCTGGTTAGAGCGAGGTGCTGATAACACCAAGGTCAAGAGCTGGGGTCTCTGCATGGGCCGGCCGCCAAAAATAAATAAATAAAAACTTAAAAATAAAACATCTGGTCCTCCCTACGTGTAAATGTGTTTAAATGCTTCAAAAACCTGCCGATCAGATGGAGGCTGGTGGGAGGGGGGTGGGGAGAGTTGGAATCATTTGTATTTTCTTTGAGAAGGGAAGCCTCCCTACGTGTAAATGTGTTTAAATGCTTCAAAAACCTGCCGATCAGACGGAGGCTGGTGGGAGGGGGGTGGGGAGAGTTGGAATCATTTGTATTTTCTTTGAGAAGGGAATAGAATTTTCTTGAAAGTTGGTCAGACGGGATTGCAATCCTGGTTTGCCCATGTACCCTGTCACTGACCCATCATGTACATGCTCTGAGCCTCAGTTTCCCTTCCTGTAAAATGAGGCTGATGATGAGTTAATCCACCCACGTGCAGCACTTAGCATACAGTAGGTGCTCCATGTGTGCTGGCCCCAAGGCGGTGCCTGACACACGGTGGCCGGTGGCCGCAGCAGTGGGTGTGTGTCGGCTCAGGGGGTGGCCCCAGGCTCTACCTCCCCATCTCATTAATTGGCCCCTTGGCTGGGCCCCTGGGTTTGGCTACTCCTTATCAAGCCTCATAAATTATTCAACTCCTGACAGCCACACTGGGCTTCCCTCCCCCTAGGCTGAGAGCCAAGGCCATGGGGAAACTGAGTCCCGGAGAGCCGGAGAGGTTGGGGATGGCCCATGGCCACCGACGATGATAGCCGTTGATGTCAGGGCAGGCGCACGCTCTTTGCTCTCAGATTTGGGTTTCCGCGCTGGGACTCCCCATGGAACGGGGCACTACCCCCTCTTCAGCAGGTACGTGCTGTCGCTGAACATTCCTGGCAACTCAGGCTGTGCCTGTGGCCGCTGCCCTGTCCCCAGCCTCTGTGTGGAGTGACCACCAGTCCCTCCTGGGTCTTATGGTCTCCTTGTCCCCCTGGGACACACACCTGAGACTCTTTCACAACTCCCTTGTCTGGGAACGAACTTGTGACCCAGACCCCTTGGCCTGGGGGAACTGGAAACTGGCACCGGGTGCCTCTGGCCACAGTTGGCAGTTTCCAGTCCCCTCCACTCCTCCCCACCCCGGGTTCAGGTGATAGTGGCAGTCTCAAGTTCCCCAGGCAAGGAGGCCAGTAGGGGAAACTGGCATGGCCTCCGCTCCCTTCCAGCGTTGGCCAGGAGGGGTGACAGGGGCCCCCACCAAGCGGAGGACCCAAAGCAGTGCTGTGTGGCCCTTGGGGGAACTGATCTCCCTCTCTGTGCCTCATAAGAAGCATGGATCCCAGACCCCCTTGCTGATGCAGGACAAACCCAGAATTCCACGGCCTGAAAGCAAGGAGGATGGGACTTTGAGAGTCCAGGGTTCTGGAATTCTAATGTGCCCCCAGTTCTGGAATCCAGGAGGCCTCAAGATTCCAGAATTCCATGGGGCTGAGTTTCTGGAACCTGATGGGAATTGGGCTGGGTCTTGGGTTCCAGAACTCTCTGAATAAGCTCCTGGCTTCCTTCCGGGCGGGTGGCACTGAGTTTTCCCTAATCCTGACACCGCCCCTGCATGGGTGTGGGGCTCGGGGGCTCCATCAGCAGCTGTTTTTGGAGGCCCGTGTGCAGGCGCCAGCTGGGCCCCGCCCGTGCCAGGCCGCGGAGCGGTGGAATGTGATCGCTGGTTCCCAAGCCCCAGGCCCCTCCTCTGCCAGATCTTCCGTCCCATTGCCCTCCCCCTGACGGTCCCCTCCCTCCAGCGATCCTCACCATCCACACATCTCTCAACCAGTCCCTTTCCCACTAAACACCCTCCCCCGCTCCTGCCCAGACTGCCTGTCCCCGCACCCCCGGCCCACCCAGCCTCCTCCAGGGTGGCCTGGGCCTCAGACAAATTTGGACTCCAGAGTCTCTGATCTGCCCCTGCCAAGATGGGGGCTCAACCTTGCTGAGCCTCAGTTTCCCCTCTGTGAAATGGGAATCAGAAGGGTGCTGCCTGGCCTGCAGGCATTCCGGTGGCTCTGCCCAGTCCTGCCTGGCTCCTGCCACTGTCCAGCCTTTGCCTCGCTGTGGCCCCCACCTGGCCCGCCCATGCTGCTCCAGGCTGGGCTGGTGGCTGGTCTCCGCACCAGGTGCACGGGGCAGCCTGGTGTGAGCCCTGACGCTTCCTGTGACCTTGGCTGGCTCTGGTTCCTTGGCCAAAAGACCAAAGGCACCCTTTGGACTGAAACTGTAAGGGACCAGGCCGGTCCCCGGGTCAGGACCTCCCCCGCCTGATATGGATTCAAATGCCCCTGGGTGTGAACCCCCAAGGGTGTAGTCTGTGCAACCACAGATGTTCATGAAGACACACACACAACACAACCTGACACGCAGGTGCATTGTCAGTCTCCAGGCCCTCCCAACCTCCCCTTACCACAGGGCTCAGTTTCCGGAAACATTTCCTGTTTGTGACATTAATGAGGCCCCCAGCCCTGGAGGGTGCAGGGTTGGGGCTCCATAGTTGCCTAGGCTCACATGGCCCCCTCTGAGCCTCAATTTCCCAATGGGAGGGCCTCACATGGGGTCAGTTATGAGACAAAGGGACAGGACCCCAGCCATGTGGCTGGAGGTTTAGTGGCTGACACACCACGAGAATCACAGTGATACGCACCAAGGGTCATCACTGTGTGTACATGCACACGGACACACATACACAGATGCACGTGCAGACAGACACAACAGACAGATGCACAGGCAGAAACACGACAGACAGACAGGCATACAACCAGACACACAAACACACAATGGACAGATGCACACAGTCTGACACACGCAAACACACAGACATACACACCCGTGACCAAACACACCCACACAGAGGCCTTCACAGACACACACGCAGACACCCACAGCTGCACAGACACACCCATTGCCCGGGGACCCTTCCCTGCTGTGGCATCCAAGTCTCAGATCCCCTTGTGGGCTATGGAGTCGCCCCACACAAACCCAGAGAAGCCGGACACACAGCTACAGCCCGGGCCGCTCGGACCCACTGCACACGCGCCCAGTGCAGGCACAGGAGCACAGAGCCACACTCCAGGCACAGACAGGGGACACCTAGCACCTGACCGCTGTCACCGCCCACGCGGACACACCCACAGCAGGGCAGGGTCAGCGGCACCCGAGCCCGCACCCATCCCGCGTGGCGCCTCCTCACCTGGGGACCTCACCTGGCCGGAGTCGCTGCGCGCGAGGGGCGAGGGTCGCGGCGCCGTCCCGGGAGCACAGCTGGCGGGTGTCTGGGCACCGAGGCGGTGGCCGGG